ACCGACACCACCGGTACTACCGGCACTACCGGCACCACCGGCACTAACGGCACTTAGGCGGCACCGGCACCGGCACTAAGGGCCGTGAATTAAAGCGGCACTGGTACGGCACCGGCACTCAAAAATTAGAATTTTTCGATCACTAGTGTGGACCTTTCCCTCTGAGGCTAACCTAACTTTGGCTTTGAGTCAAATCAACGGCTATTATGTGTTTTCCAAAAGCCATTCATCCGTTTGGATGGAGAGACAGATCCGCATCAAATCCAACGCCTATACCAGTAATGATCTGCTCTGCGGCACATTGTATCAGGTGTGTATTGTAAAACTTTATTATAGTTTTATTTCTTTGTGCTACACTATTATTCATGTTACATTAGCTGTAATTGTGTTATGATGTTTTGTTGTACATGTTAACATTATAATTTTAACAAAAAAATTTATTAACAAAAAATTAGTAAAATACTGTAAATTTATTAAGTTTTGTTTAAATAAATATTAATGACATGTGTTTATTATATAATTGGTTTCGAAGCGCATGTATGATTTATTACAATTTTGTATCAAGCATAATTTATAAATTATATTAATTTATTTTGTTATTTTAATCAACAGTATTATGTGGTGGCATATAATGCAATGGGAAAGGGAGACGCCAGCGATTCAATCGCCATTAAAACTAAAGGATCAGGTACGATTGCTTTAAATTGCCTAAATAATATTAGTATAAATTAATTTTTAATAAAATTAAACGCGTTCATGTGATATCACAAATTATTAAATTTAGCTAAAAATTATATTTAAATATATTTTTAATTTTATAAAATTATTAAAAACTTAATATTACAATTGCGTTGTAATTAAATTTTAATTTAATGTTAATAAATTTGATTTAATCTCCCAATTGCGTTTGCTAGATAATAAATTATATGAACATTATTTTTAAAATATTAATTATTACAGTTTATTAACAAATAAATATCAAAATATATAAACATTAAAATATTTACAAAATTACTTTTGCTATTTCATTGTTTAGTTCATCATTACTTTTTAATTTATAATCTAGTTAGTAAATTAAAAACAACTCAAATATTATAATAGTAATTAATACAGTATTTTAGCATACAAATTGTTTGTCAAGGACCTTTACGATACAATAATTTATTACATAAAACAATCTATATTAAACTAAAACTTATTTTAATTACTATATCTCTAAAATTAACAATATTAGCTATGTTTTATAAACTCAATGGTCTGTATGCCAAGTATATCACTTAATTATTACATGATATTAACTATTGTATTAAAAAATTAATAATTACAGTTTGTTATACATAAACTTACATTTTAACGCTTTTATTTATTTTAACCTTATACCCATTTCCCTAAACAATCAGCACCTGTACCCCCAAAACACGTGAATGAATTCCTTGTGGTGAACACTTCGTGGGCGCACATCAAACTGGACGCCTGGCACTCAAACGGCTGTCCCATCAAAGAGTTTCTCATACGATATCGAGTGACTAAATACGAGACCGAGTGGTCAGAAGTGTCGGCACAGGTCTGGCCCCAGGAGTCCAGCATTGAACTGCTGGGGCTGAGCCCCGGGCACTGGTATCAGCTCAACATTAAAGCGGTGAACGAGGCCGGAGCCGGCGAACACACCTATCATTTTGCTACGCTTACAGCTCAGGGAGGTATGGGTTGACATATTTATTACTATTTTATAGAAAGTAATTTAATTTAAAAAATCTATGCAAATCAAAATATAATAATAACCATGATAAGATATTTTATATAAATAATCTTAACCTGTCTAATTTATCATCCTAATTTTACATTAGGACTGTTTTACAGTAGTAAGCAAGTATTTTTATTTTATTAACTATAAAATATATAATTTCAATATCATTATCCGTTACGTCCCAAATATATATAAAATCTGTCTTGTTGTTTCAATTAATATTTTAAATAAGATAAATTTACAGTACATATTTTATGTTTTACGTTACAGCTCAGGTAGATATAGATTGGATTTTTTTTCTTGTTTATAAAAATAAATTATTATTGTTGAGATTTACCCCATTGAAATAATAATCTATATAGATAACATAATCTGCAATTACAATTTAAATTGTTTTACAGTAGTTATAAATAAATTTATTTTATCATGATTTTCGGAGCTATACCAAATGAATATACAATTTAAATTCATATTTCATTTAACATTTCAAATTAAATTATTTTACAGTAGTTATTAAATGCTCATTCTATAAGATTAATGTATATTTACCCACAATTTTCAGGCACAGTATCGCCGCTATCGGAAAGGGAGCCCCCATTAGGGGGGTTGGAGTCGATCACAATTGTGATACCTGTGATATGTTCGGTGATTGTGCTCACAGTTATACTCGCCATCGGACTCATAGTCATCAACAAACGCCGCCCGTTGACCAGTACGGGGCCCGGGGGTGGTGTGGGGACCCCCGGTAGCCGACACCCCAGCGAATCGCAGCAATACTGTCGCGA